TGAAAGACACCATCAAGAAAATGATAAAGTAAGTAAAAAAAAAAAAAATGGTGCAGGGTGGGATATAGTAGAGCACTTGTCTAGCATGCACAAGTCTCTGGGTTCAATCCCCAAAACTGCAAAAAAAAAAAAAAGGAGAAAATATTTATAGTATTTATATTTTATATTTGACCAAGAGCTTGTGTCCATATTATGTAAAGAACTTTTACAACTCATTAAGAATAAAAATGGCCCCCACACTTGTAATTCCAGCAGCTTGGGAGGCTGAGGCAGGAGGATAGTAAGTTCAAAGCCAGCATCAGCAACTTAGGGAGTCCTAAGCAACTTAGCAAGACCTTATCTCTAAATAAAATATAAAAAGGCAGGAAATGAGGTTCATCGGTTAAGCATCCCTGGTTCAATCTCTGGCACCAAAATAAATAAATACAGCACAATACAGATATGGGCAAAAAAATATAAACAGACACTTACCAACAGATACTCAGCAAAAAAAGTTACATGAGTGCCTGATAATCACATGAGATGATGCTCAAAATTATTAGTCATCAGGGAAATGAAAATTCAAACCATACAAGGAATACTCACCTACTCATGGAATAAGTAGCCAAATAAAAGAGGTTGATAACAGGAAGTATGGGAAGGTTTTGAAATAATCACATGCTGCTGATGAGAATGTAAAATAATGCAGCCACTTTGGAAAATGAGTTCAAAATTTCTTTAAAAGTTAAACATGTGCTTGATGGACAACAAAACCATTCCAATCCTTTCCCCAAGAGAAAAGAAAATCTATGTCCACACAAAGATCTGGTCACAAATGTTCACGGCAGCTTTATTTCTAGTAGTCAAAACCAACCTCAGCATGTTTTTAAGATGTTGAATGCTGTGAAGCACTTCCCTTTCAATCTAACAATGAGAAACAAAATCACACAAATATCAGAGTACTCCTTGAGCTCTTCAGAGAGCTGAGGTTTCAAGGCAACCAGTAAACGGGTTTCAAAGGACAGGCAGCTCCAACCAGAGATGAATACATGACCCAAATCACTTTCAGCAGAGAATGAGAGGAAGAGGGGCCTCCATGCAGGCAGGTTTTGAAATAATCAGCTTGAATTTTGACTAATTCTTACAGTTCAAACAGAAAGCTAGAGAGAGAGAGTAAAATGGGCAGGGGCCTTCATTTCAATTTTTCTTTTTTATTGAAATAAATTTTATTTTTGATTTTCAGAAGTAAAAAAGTTACAACACTTTATATAAACAGTTAACAAGGCAGTTGATATCAAGTTAACTTCATATACCATTAATGATTATTTTTATTTTTTTGAAAACACTCAAATACGGTTACATCACATTCTTTAAAAGACATACTTAAGGATACTTGCATTTAACAATTTCCGTGAATAACAAAACTCTAGTACATCCAAGTATTTCATGACACTTCAAACATTGTTATATGTTAATTTAACCTCTTAGGAACTTTGCATTTTTCACAATGAGAAAGTAGAAAACAATATATAATTAAAAAGAGCAAAACTGAATCATGTATTCTCTTTGTCAAAAGAAAACAGATTAAGTGTGGGGATCAACATAACCATGGAGACTGCTTATTTTTCCGTCCTTTACCTCTTCCCTATTTTATAAGGAAAGCAAAGAGGTTTAATATTTGAGAGAAGAATCAGCATAAAACAATTTTGGTATTATCACAATTCAAGAAATGTCCCCAGGACATTTAGAAAACAGGTCACTGACCATTTGCCCATTTGGAGAGATTAGGGAATCCTAAATCCACATAAAGAAAACATTCAAAACATTTTTTTTTGTCCTCACACATATTATTTTTCCTCTGCACAAAGGTCAGATTGAATGCCTTTGGAGATCACTTCTGCTATGATGTAGATATGGAAGATCACTTCTGCTATGATTTGGATATGGATTAAAGGTGTCCCTCGAGGGCTCACAAATGGAACTCTTAGTCCCCAATGTTAAGAAATGGTGGTACTTTTAAAAGATGACCCTAGTGAGAGGTCACTATTGATCCTCCCCTCTGTCTGGTGTCCTATCTCACCACCTTCTCTCATGCCCTCCTGCATAGATTGAATGCCATCCACTATAAAGTAATTGGCCAGAGGCCTTGCCACAGCCAATGCTATCCTACTTGTGGACTTTCAGCTTCCAAAATTATGAACCATTCTTTCTTTATAAGTAACCTAACCTCAGGTACTTTATTATAGTTCTTGAAAACAGACTAATACAACCTCTATCTATTTTAGCAACTTAATGTAAATAGAAAGCAACCTTTATTTTTAAGTAAGAGCATAACACTATTTTTAAACTGCAAATGGGACTCTCATGTCAGTTAAATAGTGAATTCTTAAAGACAGTTATTGGCCATAATTAAGGAGTGTGATGTGAAGCTCTCAAATTATTTATTTTTAACTCAAGTAAAGACTATAAGGCTACTGCAATCATCTCTTCATCTGAGTAATTTGATTCACCTTTTGTTTCCAATTTCCATAAATTTTTATCTGTAGTTAAAATAGTTTTCCTCTTGTCCTTATCAAGAACTGCATCATTAGCACAAAGTTTTCTTATTTTAATGTTTGTTAATTTCTTCAGATAAAAATCCTATTCCCTAAAGGTTTCTAGATCGTTTGCATTTAAAATGGCTGTGCTCTCAAGGCCATGCCCTTCTTACTGCTACCCACTGCTCTGTTTCTGGGGAATTACTGCCTTCCGTGTCCGTCCTTGATACTGTTATGTAATTCAATCTGCTCCTGCCCCTGCTAACCCTATTTAAATACCTTTCAATGAATTCACAAGCATCTTTCATTGAATACCCCTTTTTTTTGGGGGGGGGTCCAGATGATTTTGAAACCACTACAGTTTTCCACCAATAAGATTGAGACGCAAGGCCTCTTCATTCTTCTGTTTTCCTTTTTCCATTGTGCGTGGACCTCTCTCATAATGTAGGCTGCTTTTCTACTACTTTGTCCTACTTCCCCTCCTGTACTTCTTCCCTTTGGCACTTTAGTCATGGGAATATCCAGGAGGCCGTAGAAAACTCCACACTGCAGTCGGACAACTGCCCACCGCAGCTGCAACAGTGAGCACAGGTATGCCTGCCCAGACACACATGGGCCCCCAGTTGTTTCAAGATAAATGAATAATGAGTCCCTCATATATGCACATGGTTCTGATCTTTTTGCCTAATCTTTTCGCCCTGTTAATCCTATAAGTCCTTGTTGAGCCTAGTTTTTCTCAGTCCTATGGAGTGGCCTCCTGAGAAGGCTAGTGCTCTCCAGCCTATTTTCAGGTTCACAAGAGAGGCTTCCCTCCTGGTTACACCCCAAATTGGACACCTATTACAGAAACAGTTTTCTCCAAGATAGATCATTTTTACCAGAGAAACTCCAGATCCCTAGCACTAAACTAAAATGCTCAGCTATAATCCTTAACTTCAAACCTTTGGCGTCCCTTCCTTACACCAAAATGAATCGTCTGCAATAGACTGTTTTACTCTCCAAAGTAGTCGTAGTTCTCTTCCTTCCAAATACAAAAAAGAAAAGAGAGAAAAGAAAAGAAAGGAAAAGGAGAAACTTGACCCAAAGGAAATTGTTTTAAACAGGCTCGTGCCACTTTTCTCAAATTTAGCTTTGTAATTACCTTCCAACCCTTCAACACTTAATTAAAAGTCTATCTCCTTCAAAGACCATTTCCCAAATAATTGGAAGAGGCTTTTCCATTCCTAAGGCAATGAACACACCAACAGGCATTACTATTCGTATTGTCTGCTGAATTCGTAAGCTCCCTGAAGAAGGGGGGGAATTCTGATTAATTTACATATCATTTATTTAAGGAAGAGATAGAAATGATAAAGATGGGATTGGGAGGGGGAGGAGGAAGGAAGGAAGAAAGGAGAGAAGGGAAAAAGAGAAGAAAGAAAGTGTCGATTGTCCCTCTGGAGATGGCCCATATGCCCCCTTGAATGTGTGTGAATTCTTTGCTTTACTCCCAAAGCTTCTTACCTAGGCACTCTCTGAAAGAGAGAGAGAGAGTAGGATGGAGGGTAGGAAGAAAGAGAAGAAGAGGAGAGGAGATGGAGCTGGGAAAGAGAAATAAAAGGAACTGGCTGAACAGGGTAGAAATATTTCAGGTAATCACCCGGACAAGGTGTTTACAAATGTCCTGGGAAGAAGGAATTAGAAGGCCACACCAGAGTTACATGTTATTTCCGATTGATTTTCTAAATATTTATGTTATACCCCAAACAGCTTCCCTGAAGATCTCCTACCTTGCAACGTACCTTTAAAACATAATGAGGTTCTTCTTGCTAGTCCTGAGTGAGGTGCAGTGCTTTGGTCCTGTGGTGGTGATGTTAACTTTATAGAGTTGACAGTTCTTTCCAATGAAATGCTACTGCTTTAATAGTAATTGGTGATGCTAAAACTCAAAAGTGCTTGGTATCCAGGGCCTTCCCAGATGTGCTGGTGATATTGGCACCTGTGCTGTCCTTCTTGTGACTGGGGGAATTCAGCCAGAAGGGCTTCCAGAACCATGAGAGAGATGTGTCTGAGCAAGGAGTTGTACTAGTCTTGGGAGTGAGATTCTGAGGGTAAAAAAGCCATTGTCTGTTCAGTTGCTGGACTGTGTGAAAGCCTACACATAGAGAGACACTGGGCAGGTCAGTAACAGAGGGCAGTCTCTGAACCTGTGATGTAAAGTTTCTATGGAGAATTCCATAAGAAATTTATGGAAAATTTACAGAATCCGGGGATGGGAGGGGGGATAGGAAGGGGATAGGAAAGTCAGCAGAATACAACAGACACTAGTATGGCAGTATGTATAAACATGGCTGTATAATCAATGTGATCTTGCAATCTGTACACGTGGGAATAATAAGAATTCATACCCCATTTGAAACAAATGTATGATATATGATATGTCATGATCAATGTAATGTTTTGAGCAACTAGTAAATTTCTGATGTTTAAATAAATAATAAAAATTAAAAAATTTACAGAATGCTCTAGATCCCTTTCTCTGGATGTTGCTCTGGGAGTATGTGGAGTCACCTCTGTCTCCTGGTGTGGATTTGTGTTTTGACTCCACCTTTCTGTGGCTGTGGCAGTCATTCAGATCAGCCTGTGGGCCCGAGTGGGAGAGCAGCACTGTGGAAGTCCTATGTAGTCACCACGAATTACAAGATTCTAGAAAGTTGTTTGCTTTGGTTGAAATGTGTGCTGTTCAGAATCCAGAAGGGAGGGATGAGTCAGTGGAATGTGATCTGAAGAATACCACACTGCCCCTGAAGTCCCATGAGCAGCCAGCTTAGCCAGTTCCTTTGTCCCTTGCTGCTGTTCCGTCTTGTATAAAATGAGAGTTCCCACACAAGTTCCTCTGTCCTTCCGAGGTGCCAGGAAAAATCACCAGCTATTGTTTTGAATGGAAAATACATGTTAAAATTTTCTAAGAGAGAGAAGAAGAGAGAGAGACACACACAGAGAGAGGAAAGATGGAGAAAAATTAATGAAATGCCTGGGAAATCTGAGAGAATCATTTATTGATGAATAATCTTTGAGAGGTCTTCCTATAACGGGATGCATGTCATTTTGTTTTACTTTAGGTATTTGTCCAGAATCTGTAGAATGTATATTTAATAAGCACAAGTTAAGTTTATTGTAAATTATTCTATAGAGCATAATTTATTCAAACACAGGACTTACAGGTTTTCTTCTTTGTTACCTAGACATTCTCAGTACTATTCCAGGTAAGCAGAGTTGAGTAAAGCGCTCATATTTTGAGCTAGTAATATTTGGAGAAGAAACAGCTTTCCTTCTTACATTCTGGATGTAAAAGGTTCTAAATATAAAGCTCAACAACACCCCTGGATGTCAGTACAAGCAAGACAAAGTGAGTATCTTTAGTAACTGAAGCCCCATAGTTGGAGTTAGAGCAGCACTCAGCCGCTGGCCTTCTGGTATACCAGAGCTTAGTGTTGGATTTTAAAATTGATATTAGATGTAAAATTAAAACCATGAACTTTACTATGTTTTTATATAGTAAAAGCATAAGGAAGAACTCTTTTACCATGAAAGCTAGCTAAAGGTGGAGATTTCTCTGATTTACCAGCTGCCAAGGGTGTGAGAGAAGGAGGAAGGATTTTAGACCTCAGTGACCCTGGGGGTTTTTTTGACTTCTAAAATTAGATGTCTGTTAAACTCCTGGCTTCTTTGACTCAAACATGAATGTTTCACTATCACACTCCCCATGTTTGCTTCCCCACTTCCTGCAATGTTCTCCAACCCTGCACACATGTGCTCTTCATGTCTGCTTGTTCTTGTCCATGAGGACTTTGATTATCTGTCCCTTGCTCTCCCCTTCATGTACTGAACTTTTATGTTCCTGCTCTCGCCCCAGGGTGGACAAACAAACCCAGAAATGACTAACAGAAGCAACAGGAAGTGAGGGACAGAGGAGGTGGGCAGTAAATAGCCTCTCTTAACTTCAAAGAATATTGGGCTAAGGAAAATAGTGGGAAGAATGCTCTAATGGGACACCAGGACCTTGTAGCTACATTATGTTATTCATGTGTCTCTTTGTGGAAGTAGTTTGTCTTCCTTGGGATTTTCTTTCCACCTTTCTACAGGTATTTACTATTCTCATGCTGTTTGTTGGTTGCCCAGCTTCCTCTATTCACAGACAAAACTTTATAATCCTTACCTCTGATGCTTGTGACCTCACAACTAATCCTAGCAAGGACTATTTATGGTTAATATGGTCTATTTTTTCAGATGGTGAATTTGCATCCCAGGAATCACTCTCTTCCCTGGTGAGAAACCCCTGGAGGAAGACATTTGGAAGCCCTTAAATGACCTGCTGTGGGTCAGGTAGGTACCCATCCTGCTTACTCTTAGGATTGTACCCTTCCTCGGTCCATTGCCTCTTTGCTGTCTTCCAAAAGACACTACTATCCAATATGGCTACTGGAAGGGTAAGAGAAAGACATAACTTTCCAAGGATGTCCTCTTTTGAGTGGTGTTAACTATGGATGCAGCCACAGAGGTAAACCATAAACCACTTCTGGGTCCCAAAGTACAGTAACTTTAGGCATACACCATAATTAGCGAATGACAGAGTGAGTGATAGGGGCTGGACTCTACATTAAATTTGTATATTCCAAACCTGACAGTCGTAGCACATCTAGCTTCCCATATTGTTGATTTACATTTTCTACAACACATGGAGCTAAAAGCTTTCTTGAAAAAAATGGAAAAGTAGCCTGGAAAAAACAAACAAGGACCCCTTGAACACTGAGATTTTCAACAGACCAATAAACACTGTTCTTTTAGACAAAAAAAAAAAAAAATCTTGGCCACCAAATTTCATGTTGGTTAGGAAGGTTGATTTCCAGCTGGACCAAACAGAAGTAAGATAGCTTCCAGTCATCAGTACAAAGCTGTGAGCAGTTGAAGACCTCCGCCATCTCACCTATGTGTGTGGAAGTTGCCAATCGCCACCAACACAGGATGGCTGGTCTCAGGGATTTGTAAGCACAACCTCTCTGGTGAAAACAGGTTGGATTTTGCCCACTTTATGATGACTTCCTCCAGTTGTTCCCATAATGGGATAAGTATAATGATTAGTGTTTCCTGTGCTTAGATCAAAATGGTCTGAATTTAGATTTTTCAAGTTCAATATGGTGGTTCCCTACAGAGAACTCTACTCCACAGTCTCTCTTTCCCTCTTGTCTGCCTTCTTCACACTTCAATTGAAGAAATGTATGGAACCATTTCTAATGGTCTTACAGATAGCACTCACTAAGACCAAATGAGAGTATTTACTGAAGCTCTGTGACCATACAGGAGTGGGAAAGACTGGTCACTGTGAAGGGTACCAGGCCTTGCTGTCCTTTTCCTATATACAGTTAGTACCCTTTCTCTCAGAGGGCTGAGCAGGAAGCCAATGGCTACCTGGGTTTTCTTGTATGGATTCTTCCCATATTAAGTTGATTGATGCTGATCATAATCTTGACACCATTCTGGATGCCAAAATCCAAAATGTTGAAATCCCAAAAGACCAAAATCTCTTTGAAGTCTATAATCCCCAAAATCATAATCCCAAAGAATTAAAGTCCAGAATGCTGAAATTCTGAGAATTAAAATCCTCCAAACCTATAAATCTCATGGAAAAAAAAAAA